GTTGCAATAGCTTGGGATGGGATGGGATGGGATGGGATGGGATGGGATGGGATGGGATGGGATGGGATGGGATGGGATGTGTTGCCTTGGGTTGGGACCGACATGACCACCCGTGTCCCTGGGGCCACTGCTGACCCAACCTCCTCTGTGTCTTGCAGAATTATCCAGTGCTGCAGTTACAGCCTCAGAGCGATGTTGTGTATGTACATATCACGCCCAGCCATCCTCCCCGTCCAGGAGCCCTAAGTGCAGACAGGTTCAATGGGGGGAGCGCTCTAAGCTGGTTGTCCTGGAGGAAAAGCCTATTATTTTTTCCTAATGCCAGCCAGCCACTAGTTCTCTTTTCATTGGGTTTTCTCGCAAAATTATTTAGAGGGTTATTCTGGGGATGATGGTGCGGACTGCAGACCCCAAGGGGTAGCAGGTCCCATCACAGTGCCCATGCAGGCAGCAACGTAGCCTTTGCACCTCCACCTTGCAGGCTAATTGGACGTGACCAGGGAGGGTAGGACACTGTTGTGGTGCTGGGCTGTGGAGCATGTTGTTGCTACCCGGGGAGAAGTAGTTGCCAAATTTCCTCCCAGGACAGGTGTTTCTATACTTGGTCTCATCCAGAGGTCCTTGGGACTGTACAGCACCTGAAATCTTGCTGGAACCCCTGAGCCCAGCTGCATGTAGCTTAGCATCTCCCAGATTTTGGGGCCACATCAGCATTTCTTGTGCTGCTCTTGTACTTTCTGTTATCATTGTTTGCTCTTCTTATCCAAGAACCTGTTCCCTGGTCACATTGTTTGTTATGCGGTAATCAGCCCTGTCCTTCACCCGCTGCAGGTCCGGCAGCACCTACATGTTTACTTTTAGGATGTCTCCATTGCCAAGGCAGCTTTTTTCAGCCCTGGGGAAGCAGTGAGGAGAGAGGGGAGGCTGTTCAACCAGCTTAGTCATCGCTCTGCTACTGCATCAGCCCCCCATGGGCCAAAATTAGGCATCAGGCTTCACAGAAAACATGTCATTGGCTTTAAATTCCTGAGCCTGGAAACTAAAACCAAACAACGAGAACAAACAGGGAGCACTGGGTTCCCCATAGATGTCCCTATGCCTGACCCTCGACAAGATTCTTCTCAAGGTCTTCTCCACTGAGAAACAGGCAGATTTTCCTGGACTGGCATGGCTCTGGGAAGGAAGATTTTAGGAAAATGACAGTGCAAGAGAGAGTGGGTGTTTGTGGGATGGGAGACCCACTGGAAGCAGCTCGCTGAGATGGCAACGCCAGGGAGCTTCAGCTCTTCTGCTCAGGCTTTGCTTTGGCCTCAGTGCCCAAAGACACAGACCAAAGTAGATGGGGGCAGCTGCATGGCCAGAAACAGGTTTTCTGCTCTTCTTCCTCACCAGAGCTTCATCCTTCCATGCCTGATAGCTTCGTCTGCTCTCCTAGGTGGGACACGAGCCACTTCATGAGGACAGGAGGAGTCCAGCGAGGGAGCTACACCATCCACCCTGAGTTTACCTCAGAGGCTTATTCTGCCCTGTGCCACTGGTGAAGAACAAAGATGGGCTTTCATTAAAACTGGCTTGAGCAACTATTCCCCTCAGATCCTTTCCTACAGGCTGGGGAAGTTCCTGGGGAGAGGGAAGAAACTTTAGGGACTGCTGGCTTAGTAGGCACTTTAGCAGCCCTCGGGGGCTGGTACCTTGCCCACCACCCACAAGCTGGAGACCACAAAAGCACACAAGGAAAAGCTCTCGGAGCATAGTAACACAGCCAGAAATAGAAGTGGTTGTTGATACCCGTGTTTGTTGGCTTCACGCTGGACTGCTTAGGACGAGCTTGCTTTTGCCAAGTTATCCAGGAAGAGTTGCCATCCATCTGGGATAGCGAGCACGGACACAGGCTAAATAAGGAGGGGCATTTGAAATCGGCACATAATTAATGAAGGCATGAAATGCCCTTCTCTGACTATGACCTGGGAGCCCAGTGTCAGCAGGCAACACCACCCGGGGCCTTCCATGTGTGCTGCGGGTCATAGCTGTGGTTCCCACTGGAGGGATGCTCCAGCGCATAGTCACCAGGGCTTCCTAGTCCCCGTGGAGCAGCACCACTGGGAAAACCCCAATGAAAACCCCATCCTGGTCCAAAAGCATCCCAGCACAGCTCCACCGGTGCCAAACCCCTGCACAGCCCTAGGGGTACCCCCACCTCCGGGTAGCCCCGAGCATCCCCAGCATCTCCAACCTCCCCAGGCATC